AATGAAATCTCATTTGCTCACTTACAATATACTTCATGATATTCTAAATATCCAGGGTGTTAATGACATAAATAGGCTTGAACTTGACTTAAGAACAAAAGAGTTTATGCTCATTTAAACAACAATGAGATCTATCCAAGAGAAATTTTCTCTATGTTATTTTTCTGCCCATTTTTGTTGCTGCTACATCTGACATGGTTACAAAGGGAATTGTTGGAAAGCAGTTCTAGATAAGGCGTCGATCTGCTCATTTCCTTACTGTCACCCCAATACTGTTCAACTTAAGGTCACAGGATGCAAGAAGCAGTAAGTAAGGAGTTAGGAGTAACGAAGGGTCACTTAGCAAATGAGGAAGCCTCAGAAGGTGTTTTTAAATCTCTCTCAGCTTCAGTCACTTTCCCTATTAAAAATATAAAATGGGGTGGAGGTTGACAACAGAATCCACTTTACCAGGCTGTTATGATGATTAAATGGTACTTAGACTCAACTACGACAAAGTAAACCACTAGTGGAGGTATTATCATTGTTTCCTTACATTGTGTCCTCTCTGGGATCGGCTAAAAGATCCCAATACTCTGACCAAAATCTAGCAATATGTCCATTCTTATCATTGATACAAGGAGTTTTATTTCTATTTTAGGCCTCTACATTAAAGCTGAATTGTTCCCTTCTTTCTGGGAAAAACAAACAAACAGGCAAACAAAGCAGCATCCACTGTAATTGTTAATAGCACTTCCCAAGCTGTCAATACAACACTTAAATATTCTTTGGTATTCTCCTTAATCTTTCATGTATAAATTCCACAACTCAGGCTTGAAAATTGTCTTTCACCCTGCCGTGTCTGTGTTTAGCTCTAGGTCCCATATCCCCTTCCATTAATTGCCTCCCGGGCACTTGGTCTCCTTTAATCCACGGGAATGAGTTGGGTCGTTATCCCAAAAGTACTCAGTTCAAATCCACCAGCTGCTTCCAAGGGAGAAAAATGGACAATCTCCTCCCATGTGATTAACTGCATCCAAAAATCTGTTGGAGGTTCTGACTTGACACTACACAACACTTTAGTTGTCCTTTCTGAATAAAGATGCCTTGAAAATGTTTCCCAATATTTCCATATTGTCATCATCTTTAAAAATAATCTAGTCATTTACTTATTGCATCAGGCCACTGTGGTAAAGCGGGACTGACATCAGGGTTGAGAGAAGACAGAGAAGTAGGGGAGGGACGATGCATACTGCATTGGAACAGATGAGGGAGAGAACTGTTTAAAATCATGAAACTGGATATATGATTGGGTATTATTGTCTTAACAGAAGACCAGAATGAAGGCTACACAGTGGAATGGATTTGAGGGGAGGACTACATAACAATGAAAGAGTTTTTCTTTTACTTTTCAGGGAGAAGAGTGAATGGGGGGGGAGGGGGTTGGGCAGGGAGAAAAGTGCAACAATGAATGACTGGAAACCCTAAGTCTCTGTAAACTTTCATTAAAATCAATTAAAAAAAAATCTTGTCATTTATATCATCTAGTTTTCTCTTCAGCCAACTCTGCCTTTGAAAATTATGCTCTTATTTTATCTCATATCACCAAGTGACACACCACTTAGATGTCTGATTTCTTGCATTTGTTTTCCTGGTACTTCACTGACAGTGTGACAGGTTTCCAACAAGAGAGTGAAGCTTGGTTCTGACTAAGAGCGGCCCAGCATGCAACACCCCCAGGCGTGCACAATCCCTGCTATGGTGGCGGCCACTGTCTCAGTCCACCCCAAGAGGCCCTTCCTCTTTTCCAGCGACACTCTGAGCATGACGTCCTTCAGCAGTGACGCTGAGGGTCCTCATAACGTATCCAAAGCGCATGAAACAGTCTCTCTTTCCCTGCGTAGTTCTGGTGGGCTGAGGGAACCCTGATGGTCTAGTGCTAAGGAGCTGGGAGGCCAAGCTAAAGGCAAGAGGTTCAAACCCACTGGCTGTTCTGCAGGAGAAGGACGGGCAGTCCCCTCCTAGGTGGTTAACTGCCTCTGAAAACCACTGGAGGCTCAGCTGTGAGCAGGTTCTGACGTCCTGAATCAGCACATGGCCAACCAATGGGCTGCTCTGCGGTCATCCACGTTCTGACTGATGATACTGATTACCGAGTGTCTAAAGAACATCCTGGACACCCCTCAGAGGGCAAGCCTTTGGGCAGGTGATCAGGAGAGGTCTGCACCAAGAGCAGGGCGTCATGTGTGGTAAAGCAGAGGTCAGTGAAAACTATGATACGGTCAATGATATAGCAGACCCTGCCACCATGGGCTCCAGCCCAGCAGTGATTGCGGGACTGGGACAGAAGTGAACAGTGCTGCCTTCTAGGGTACACACTGGGCACAGTGAGCTGGACACGAGCCCAGGGGTGATTGCGGGGCCAGCAGAGAACTGAACAGTGCTGCCCTCTAGTGAGCTGGAACCCGCAACAGCACCTAACAACACTGTCTCTTCCCACAGATACAGTCAATCTGATTCCCGTAATCTGTAACTGGGATAGAACGGCTGGGGACGGTACACTATTTTCTAGTTAACTTTTCAACCTCAAGATACTTGTTAAAATGGTATGCTTAAAATCTAACCTTAATTTGAGTCTCTTCAGTCAACAAGATTTACTATTAAATGGTAGTTAACTGTTTTTGCTGGACTATTCTAATATTAATGACCACAAGTAAGTGAAAAAATTTTTAAAAATCACTATTCTAGCCTATTAATGAAATACTCAAACAAAGACTTTTTTAAATTTATACATAAATAACCACTTTTGTGTCTAACTGAGGGGAAGTTAGCGGGAGCCCACTGTGGCGAGTCCATTCTGACTCAGACCCACCTTACAGGACAGAGGAGAATTGCCCTGGACTTTCTGAGCCCATATATCCAGCTAGAAGCAGCCTGCATAGCAACTGATGGGTTTGAACAACTGACCTCTGTGTTAGCAGTGGAGTACTTACACTACTGCTCCGCTCACAATGCTACCTTTTAATTGGAGTTGTTAATGTGATGTTTCGACTCCCCAAAAACCTCACTGCTGTAGAGTCGGAACCAACTCGTGATTCTCAAGCTGACTTTCAGAGGCTGGTGGATTCGAACTTCCTGTCTTTGAATTGGTAGCTCAACTAACTAACCACTAGACTTATATTTTTAAAAGGGAATGACTGTATCCTTTTGACAAATGCTTACTCTGGGTTAGGTACTTTCTACACACTTAACAAAAACAGACTGGTTCCACACCCACATAAACACCGCTGCTGTGTAGTCGCCTTCAGAACGACTCCTAGGTAACCCTCTGGCGGATTTTCAGAGGCAATAAATCGCATGACAGAGGAGCTGCTATTCCTCTCTTTACCTTGCACAAATCTGAGACTCAGAAGGTGTCCAAAGTCACGCTGCTAAAAAAAGAAACAATCACCCAGAGGAAAAGTGTGGCTAAAAAAGTCAGACCCTGAAAACCTCGTGCTGTAGAGTGCTACTTGGTACACACGGTGATATACTGAGATGACATTAACACGACAGATCTGAGAGTCTAAGACCAGCTAGCACACACGTCTCCTCGCCCTGACTTATTTTTTTATTCTTTTTCCTTCTTGTACATGTACCATTTGTCTTGACCTATATAGCAAGTTTCTCCTCACCAATATTAACTAGTGTTGGCAAGAGATGATTTCAAATAAATCTACCTAAAACCCACGAATCATAGTGAAAAGTTACTTAAAAGCTTGAGATTTTATCTCTGAAAAGTAAATTTACCTTATACATAATCAGGAAAATTTAGGCTAAATTATAATTACAAAGTCTCTTTAAAAGTACAAATCAAGTGACTTGTGAAGAAGCATGCTTTATCTTGGGGAAAGATGATGACACACTGAAACTTTGCTTCAATGAACATTTGAGTTGCAGCGTAACTGCAAAGGATGCGATCTGTATAAAACAGCAGTTTTAAAAATTACAATTTTCCCAAATGCCTTTTTCCTCACCTATTCAAACCAAGTTCTTCTGAAAGACTTGTCAATCAAAACTTTGCAAATTTTCTCTTCTTCAATAGTATAGATGAGTCCAAGTCCACCAGATCATTTTTTTAACAGATCACAAATGCTTAATCCCTCCTACAAGGGACCTACCTTCTATTTGCACTCGCTTATCATCAGATCAATACTGAACTAGTTAGGACCCATTAGCATAATAATGCAACAGGCTGAGACACATGTCAGTGTTAAACAGGGTAAGCTATTTGGCGATGACTTTTATAGGCCAGTTGGTGGATATTTTGAAGTTACATAACTTATGCTTCCGTACCAGATGCCAAGATGTAAAGAAGGAGGAACAGAGCAAGTGGAATTAGAGGACTCCTGGTTTTCATAAGGAGCCCGTCTGGCGTGGCAGGGTATGAGGTGAGGCTGCTAACCGGAAGGTCGGGAAGGTGAACCCAGCAGCCTCGCTGCAGGAGAAAGATGAGGCAGTCTCCTCCCACTAACACAGAACCCACAGACTTGGAAGCCCAGGAGTCAGAGCTGGAAGTCACCAGATGGCATCAGAGGGGTGGATTCACCGTAAGGTGGAAGACAGACAGTTCCCAACACCGGGCTATTCAAGTTAGGATGAACCAACTGAACTTAGAACCACTTGTCTGGGGTTTTTTGGTACATCTTCTAGTGAGATATATGGTGTTATTTGCCAATGTTGTCATATCTGTAAGTTTATATGTAAGATTACCAATTCCCAAAGACAACTATAGATTGGATTTATAGATATTGTTAATAAAAGGCATTAACAAAGAAAACATAAGAGAAAGAGAGGTGTTCAGCTGATGCCAGCACCAAACTGCAACGGGATTGTTGGAATGAATTCCGTTGTCATAAACTGACAACTACCTGTACTCATGTGCGATGTGTGTTGACAGGCGAATAGCGTGCTTGTTTGTGACTTGGTGCTTTTTTCTACATATGCATCCAGTGCTCTGTGAAAAGCGTGTGGACCCTTACGTGATATGACGTGGTCCATGTACTGAGGTAAATAAGGAGCCCAGGCGTCGATGGTTTCCTTCCGTCCGACCTGCTCAATTCTTCTCAGCTCTGCGAGGAGCAGGGCCTGTGCAGCTTCTCTGACCTGAGACAACCAGGGGCCCAAGGGTGAGAGAAAAAGTACATCCGTTAGTGAGACAGTGAGTATGTAGCATAAACAGTAAGTGCATGATGAATGAAAAGTAATGCATGCAAATGCCACATCTCATTTACATGAGAAAATCTTCCAGTCAAATCATGAACAGACACAGACAGCTCTCAGATAAGTTTCATTCATAAGTGTCTGTAGGAACTTGTACAGAAGGTGTGGAACAGTTCAGTTAAGATTGTTAATTAACATAAGTTAGTCAAATGCTTGTCTTAATAGAGGGTATCTTTCTTTATATAAATGAATTAAAGAAACACTGGATTCCAAATACAAGAAATTACATAGTAGTAATAATAACAGCAGTAACAGTGTTTTGATATATAGGGAAATGTACCACTCATTCCTGATCACCACCACTACGTATTCCTCAAGCTTTTCAACTAACATATGGCTGCTGGTTCATGAATAGGAATTATAATCAGACACTTGTAACTCAGGGAGTTACAAAGTGGAGCAAAATGGACAACAGTAAATCACCAGACACATTTTAATAATGAGCTTAGAGAAAAATATTTCTATGTTTGTAGACAGAACATAGTTGATAAAACCTCAGTTTAAAACATGTTTTAGTCTAAAACTTGTACTTTAGTGAAACATTTTACATTTTTTAAAATTTCCATATAAATAGTACTATTAAGTCAATTTATTTTTCTTTTAGCCACAGCTAGTGAATTTTTTTTATCTAGTGAATGTCTAAGCCTTTTAAAATGTAATTTAAATAGGTGCAGCTTACACAAAACATATTTATAAAGCTACACTATGATTCGTGTATACCTGATATATACTTACTTACACAATTTGGTTTCCACAAATGAGCAAACATATATGAAACAATATAATCTTACTTTTTTGTCATATAATAGAAAACTAATTTTGCAAATTATATTATCTTACTTTTTATTTTATTGTGGCCAACAGCTTTTATTTTGTAGGTGTTAAAAGGTCACTGATGTGAGGTCAAGAAGTTAGTCAATTATCAAATAATGCACCAATCAATCTGTTTACATTTTGTAGCTGAAAAGACAGCTCAGCCCTAGAGGAGTAAGAGCTCAAGTAAAAAGCTGCTTCAGTATAAATGGAGGGAATAAAATATCCATGGAGGGGGGTGATCACCCACTACAATACCACTTGGAATTGAGGTAAGAAATGTTAGGAAAGGGGCAAATACAAATGTTCTCTTCATCATTTACTAAATGTGTTACTTAAACACTTGAATAAAACAAACTGATACAACAAGAACCTGAATAAGGAAGACCTTTCTGTTTCCAAATCCCAGCAACAGCTAATAGAACTCAACTGTTTTAACACAAACAGGCACCTTTGACTGAGTCTCCACCACAGGTCAGGCTCTGACTTGTTTTACTTGTATTATCTCATCTGATCCTGAAAGCAACACTGTGAGGAATGAACTCTCATCCCCTCTTTACAAATAAGCCTCAAGTAGGTTAGATAACTTCCATACATCACAAAGCTAATAACTGGTGGAAGTGATATTTAAGCCATGTCTCTTCTCAATTCAAAGACCTCCTCCTTCTACTCTAATACAGTACTAGCCATATCCACACAGAACTGGACTGATGGGATGACACCAGCCGTGTGGTCTCAGGGACGGCCAGATAGGTACAGCTACGTGTGTGTTTCAGCCTGAGAATAGTATGTACAGAAACAAATACTTAAGAAGCCTTTCCAGTAAAGGACGTAGAGTTCTTTTCATCAAATTGTCACTGGGTCAAAAATAAGAATAATTTGATTATCAAAGTGAAACATTACCGTCTAGAACCTAAAAAAAGATAAGAAATCAGGCCCTATTTTCTGTCACACAGGAGACAGATGACAGCATAGACGGGATGAAAAGCAACCCTGTTCGTTTAAAATGCACATTTAAATATAAGGCTCCTTTCAACAATTTACACTGTAATAATTTTATTCTCTCTCCTCTTGCCATTACCTCCAAGCACCGGTCTTGCCATCTGCGAGCGAGCATCTCCAGAAGCGGAGGCCTAAATTTGTCCAAGCCCAGCAGGTCTGGCAACATAACACAGTGCATAGCAGCCAACTGACTCCACCCTGTTAAAATGGAACAGAGATCAGTTACTTCAAATGTTTTTGTTTTCCCTAAGTCAAAGGGGTTTTCTTTATCTAAGCCTAACAAAGGACAGAGTCACTAAATTAAATGTTATTTAAATTTATTATGATTACTGGATAATATTTTGATACAGAATATTCTACTAAATATATTTACCTAAATATATTTATCTCCAAATCATGTACCTAATACTTATACAAATTCTCAAAGTCTTAGAGCAAACAAAACTTGATTTCCATATAATATATATCAGAAAACATCCATCATCTTAAACAAATACACATCTTAAGAAAGGGAAAACATAGAGAAAAACACATAATGAGCGAGATGGAAGGTGCTTTATATAGTAGAGACTGGTTAATCTTGGTGATGGGAAAAGTGGCACCGCATATGGATGCAGCAAAACCAAATAAAAATGAGCATTTAAAGACATATAGATGCACATAGACATATAAGCATTTAAACGCATATAGATGCACATAAGCAAATGAGCATTTAAATGCATATAGATGCATAGAGGCAAACTGGCATACAGGTAACTACAGAGGTACAGTTAGGTACACAGGTAAAAAATACATACATGCATCTATTCTCAAAATCTAAACCAAGCTCACTGCTGGTGGGTTTATTTTGATGTGTGAGTATGAATATATGTGTAATGGTACATATATTCATTGAAGACACAAATACTCCTTAGACATAACCAAATACCTTCCAACATTGATTATTTTTTGGGGGGCGGGAGGGACTCTGAAGGGTTAGGACCACAGTCCCATGGGATTCCAGGGAACTGAATAGTGTCTGGAGTCTGTAAAGCTTACAAGCAGCCATCTACGAAACACTATGGGTCTCTACTCTCCAGAAGCAAAACAGCAGAAAAGAAACCAAAGAAACAAGCCTACATGAGAAACACACCCTCATCAACTCTGAGATCAGAAGACGTAGATGGTGCCCAGCAATCACTACAGATCATTCCGTAGTTATTTCTGGACAGAATGGGAGAAAAGTACAGAAAACTCAATACCTTATTTGAAGGGTGAAGGGGTTGAAAGTGGAAAGGCCAGATAAAATTATAATCACGAGGAACAGAGGACGCCCTGGGTCTATTATTATTGAGAGACGTTCCTCAAATCAAGGCTATCCTGGGAGATACCTCTTAGCAAAATAACAAAGCAGCACACAAAATAGAGGCTATTCCCTGTAAAATCAGTGACATGCTTAAAAACCATCAGCATCAGAGCAAAGGTAAGTCAGTATTGCAAACAAAGAGGAGACGATAAAGGGGCAAAGAAACTAGAGTCCTGGGAAGGGAAGAAACCGAACATAAAATTAAAGAGGATGCTGACACGTTCTGGGAAATGTAACTAACTAATGTAACTGAATAATCCGTTTGGAAGTTGTCAAATAGGACTCTAAATGGCTATGTAAAAACTTCCCCAGAAAACCTCAATAAAATACTATTTTTAAAATTTTAAAATAAACAGGTACTAGAGTCATGACCTGAAGTCACTCTATTATGTGAATCCATGAGTAGAGGATTCACACAGATATCCAAAGATGTTTCTATCACTAAAACACGGCCATGCCTGTATTAGCACCCTGTCAGCCAAAAGGCATGTTACCCTTCTCAGTTATTCATTGATTTCTTTTATTACAAAATGAGCCTGTTATTTAATCACAATAATTGTTGGAATAAGTCACATTCTCCTAAACACAAACTTGACAATCCAAATACAGGGAATTTTAAACTTTATTAACTATTATCTATGGTACTAAAAGTTGAATTTTCAAAAATTTTCCTCCACATTGTGGAATGTCATTGCGTAAAGAAAGAAAAATCCAAAATCCAGCTGTGTAAAAATCACCTCAGTATTTAAAAATACCAATACACTGACATCTTCAAGCTTTGATCTCATTTTAAAGGTTTCTGAAAGATACAGACACTATTGTGGCTCATTTTGCCTGAATGACATATGAGGTCCCTAGTAATCTACAAAAACACCATTACTTCCTGGGGATAACATTTTAAGAAATGTAACCAAAAATGGATGCAAGAATGCCCGTTATCATCACAAGGCAAGTTGCCAGTGATTTAATAATTCCAACAATGTTTTGAAGTAATCTGAACAACCACTACCAAAACCCTATCATAAGACTCAAAAGGAACAACGGAGTTTTAAAAAACAAAGACGAGACAGTGACAGACAGACAAAGAGACAAATTGCCCCACCTCCTTTTCTTAAGGACCTTTCCTTCAGCTGAGAATTAGTAATTAATGTGATGAGTACACATTCTAAAATTTATATATATACACACACACACACACACACACACACACACACACACCCTCCCTCAACTGCTGTTACTCTGTGCTGTCAAGTTGGAACCAACCCACAGGTGACCCTCCAAGAAGTTTTCAAAGGCAGTAAATCAATGATGGGAAGAGACTGCCCATCCTTCTACGCAACAGCTGGTGGATTCAAACTGCATGCCTGTGAGACTGCAGTGCAGCTTGTTACCACAAAGCCACCAGAGCTTCATATGTTAGATCACTACTTAGTGAATTTAAAAAGACTATTTTAATGTCTTCTCCAAGTGTTAAGTATATAAGTGTTAAATATGTATGTGTTAAAAATATATGTGTTAAATATATATGTGTTAAATATATATATATATATATATATATATATATATATATATATATATCCAGAATTTTAATATAAAATAATGATTCTGAAGGTCCAGAATCAAATAGCTTATTCTGAATTAACAAATGGCTGTGTTTTACAACAGCTCAACAAATATGATGCTACGTATTTTGCTAAAATCCAGCCTCATCATATAAACCTCGGTTTGGGTGTATGAAGGGGAAACAAAAGAAAAAACCTCAAATTCCCTGATGTTCTTCTGCAGGAATTGGGCGTGCAAGCTCAGCTCTGATTCTACAGACACTGAGTCACCATCTCATTAGAAAATTACTTTTCAGTGGAGACCCAAAGTCAATCTGGTTTACTTGCGATTTTCTAAATTTCCTCCTTTCTGTGTGATACAAACAAGGGAAGGCTTGAGCACACAAGGCAGGCCCAGACAAGACAGGACACAGTGCTCCCAAGTTCCACTTTCAGGCTATATGAAAAATCCAAGACGGCTCTGGGGAATTAAGGTTTTTAGATCCCTTGATATGCTCAAGTTTAAAAAAAAAGTAACTGTCTATTCTCATAATTCCACAGAGATAACATGGTGGTCAAACCACATTTTAAACACTGAAACAACAGGGTTTTGCCAGAAAAGGAAATAGTAAGGAGGATAAACAGGTGAATTCCTATCAGTATATATTCACTGGTCTCAAATCAATATGAAAATCTTTAGAATTAGAATATGTATCAAGAGCATCTCAATGATACCCTTTAACTAGGACACATTGTTGTGTAAAAAGCAGTTTGTGTGTGTCTGAGACCAAAACATACATTCACCAGCTGCAACAGCAGAGATCCTGTGGTAAACATCATCCGGAAAACCCACCGACCTTGTGATAAGCACTTCACTTCGATACTTTGCATCTCTGTCCTTCTTGACAGCATTCTAGATTAGAGGAAATGTGCTTTATAGGAGCCAGGACTAACACTGCATTTTATAACTGAACCTTCGCATTGATATCAGTAAATAAAATTAACAAAAGGGGGACTTGAGGACCTGAGACATAACGAAGCAGATGGATGTATAAATTAGATATAAAGAACCTGTCACGCTAGGATAATGCACAGGTGGAAAGGCAGTCGTTAGAAAGTTGAGAGAGATACCTTCATTTACTAAGAAACAGGTATGTAAAGCAGGACTAGAGGCAGAGGCAGAGCCAGAGTGATCAGCGTCAGACCGAGCGGGAACGACAGGTGCAGCGACTTGTAGAGGAAAATAGGAGAAATAAAGAGGAGAGGATTGAGGTACAGCAGATTCTGAAAAAAAGCTCAGTATTAGTGAAGAATGAGAAAAAATGTGAAAAATATATGAATGTAGAACTGAAAAAAAAAAAAGATGTTTTTAATCAGGAGGGCATGACCATTAAGGAAAACAGCAGAGAAATGATGTATCTTATGGAACCCCAATTAAAATGTAGTTCAGAGTTCTCTTAAAGTAAAAATATATCCAGTCACCAAATGATGTCTCAAATAAGGCAGAACATAACTCTGAGAAAACAAAATTAGAAAAATATTACTAGCCTGCTGAGAATTAACAAAAATATAATTCAATTCAAAATGCATCATGTCAAGGAAATATTTTCATTCTGTCAGTTATATTCTTTCCTGAATACTTTTCTAAAATGTGTAAGTTAATATGCAATATCTGCTGATGTTTTCTATTTTCCACATTCATTTTTTAAAAACAAAACTTAAAATATACCAAGTCATAAGAACTATAGATAGTATGCTTAGTTGCTTTCATTCTTAGGAATTCAGGAAATTATTTTTATGATGTAAAGGCTTTATATTTTAAAAAGTAATTACAATAAGTTGTATAACTCTTACAAAATAAACGCGCACACACACAAAAGTTATGTTACCAAGAAAATGTTTCAGCTTCAATTATCATATGAAAAGGCAAAAGGACCGTATGGCACACACATTCTACAACCAGAGGTCAATGCTAAGATTTAGAGGTCACCATTTGACACTTCCTTCCTATGGAGAAATTACCATATGTCATGCACAAGCATCTTCAAATTAATCCCTCTCCTTTCTCCTGTCATTGAACAGCAATAGGTTTGGGCTCCTGAACAGATTAAGCATTGTCTGCTGAATGAGATGTTTGGTTTTCATGCAGTGAAGTTCTTTTGTAACTATAGGACAGCTGCATGAAAACAACTTTTTCATAATTTCCACACGAATGCATCATAATGTCAATCAGGCACGTGTGAGGCAGAGCATAGAAATAAAAGAAGTCCATGAACAGTAACCAAAAAGAAAATCCCAAGAAGCTCATCGTGAATACAAAGAAGTTTCATTTGTGGAATTTCAACTTGCTTTAAGACAAAGATCTGTACTACTTCCTTATACAATTACAGTTTATTCATAATGATATACACACGCAAGGAGATGCTCTTGATTTGCATTCCACACAACCTGAAAACTTCTCATCAAAGTTATCTTCCAAAGTTATTTTCCAAATATTTCCACACCCTACTGACTTTTTTCCATTTTTATTAACATTTTTCATTACAAATTCCATTATTAAAGGCCTTTAATATATTCTCCTGCCCATAAAAATTCAGTAAGCCTTGGCAGCAAGGAGAAAATGTTTTAGATTTCATGCCAAAAAAAAGTACTGAGAAAATATCTCTAGTGGCTTTCAACAGTTGAGACTTTTTTTAAAAAAATTTTTACCTTTTTTTTAAAAAAAGAGCAAGAGCGCAATTCTTTGATCCCTGGAAAGGCCGTGTCAAGTTTGTCTGATTTCCCTAGCTAAGTAGAATAAATATGAGGAATAAATCATTGATACTTTTTATCACGTCAAAGTCTCAAGTAATAGTAGAAATGCTACTGGTAACACTGATAAAGTATTGTAATATATCCTAATAAAATAATGTTCAACATCTGTGACTTTATTTTCAAAGGAAAAACTAAACCCAATACTGGGTATTCTGTTTTTAAGTCATGTTTAAATGATATAAGGGAAAGTTGTGCTCTTTAATAAATTCTGTGGACACTGAACAAAAAAAAAAATTACAAGGAAATCAAGAAATAAGATTGCCTTCTTTAAAAACTGCTTCACCACCAAAAAAAAAAAAATACTCCCCTCAGGCTGCCTCACAAAAGCACAAGAGAATCTAAAAATATTTTCATAATTCACTGAAAAAATTGAAATTGCTCTCTACTTTAACTCTTAAAATTGTCCCAAATATAGAAAAATCAACAACAGAAAATCAGGAGGAAAAAAATAATCACTTCCAAAATGAAAAGCTCAACATTTAATAATAAATCTGGACATTTTTAAGGATTACTGGATAGGACACTAATGATTTACTTCAAAACAGAATCAAGAATTTGGCTTCTGAAAGTAGAAAACCTGCTTAACTATCAATTTAGTTCTCTTACTAAAGACTATTCATATATATGGGGTAAAACACTGAGTACAGCTTCAAAATGGAGATGAAACTAATGCAAGTTCTATCATTTCACTTGAGAAGATCACTTAAATAAGTAATTGTGCAGCTGAGAACTTCTTCAACGGTTCATTGTCATGAAAAGATGAAGATAATGTATGTATTCACATGTATACATGAACATAGATGCTCTCTGGCTTTCCTTTAAAAGGTATATGCAGTTTTTGTCCTTAAGTGACTTGAGTTATTTCACTCAGCATAATGCTCTCCATTTCTGTGAAAATAGAACGATAATTGAGCAAGATATGAAGAAATGTTCAAAAGGGAAAGGAAGGAGAGAAGTGGGGGGCTAGAAGAGGGACAGAGAGGAAAATCCGTAGGATAGTAGAGGATGGTGGATGAAGGGGGGTGAAGGAATGGGAAATGTTCAATGGGGACTTGGAAAGATGGGGTATTAATAGGCACAGATCTATGGTAGTTAATTATATTTTAAAATGCTATACAAATGATTATGTAAAACACAATGCATATAAATAAAACACAGTGCATATGAATAATTGTATAAAATACAAAGTACATGTATGAAATATGATGTAGATGAATGATTGTATGCAAACCAGTAATAAAATGTTTTAAAATGGCATATGCATGTGCAATAATATCTAGTTTCTACTTTCGAAATATAGCTCAGTTTTTATTTGATACTAATTCTAAACTTCATTTTTCCTTCTTATCATTGAACACCAAAAACAATGAGACAGTATAGGAATAAAATAGTTAGAGGTAAGTACTTTCAACATAGTAGTGTAAAATAAAGATCACTAGTCTCTGGCAGGCAACTCATGGTTGCTGTGATGCTAAACACTGTGACACTGATATGTCAAATATTTTAATGGTGGACAGTGTTTGGTGGAGTTTCCTGATTAAAACAAGCTTGTAAGCAGGAGTGGCATCCACTTCCAAAATAGCTTGCCTCTGGAAACTCTATGAATGTGGAGAAACAATGAAAGTTATACAAGTGTTCAGGTCTTTTGTTCATAGGGTCGTTAAGAGTCATCTACAACTCAACAGCACTTAACAACAACAAGTCTCTGGCATGTGAACACAAACAATCTTTACAGGTAAAAGAAATCTTTAAAAACACAGAAAACTAAAAGCAATGCTTACAGAAATAAGTTTTTCTGAAGTTATCATTACAAAGTGAATCAAAGTATTTAATGATTAATCACTATCTAAAGTGTCACACAGGAACCAGGTTATAGCAAGAAGCAGGAGGAAAGACAAAAAAGAGGAAAAAAAGGTAAAAAAAAATGTAGAAATCAGAAAACTTGGTGGTGCTAGCCACCATCTATTAATACGAGGGTGTTCAGCACTGGGGCTTCCAGCTAGCGTGGTACTAGCTCGAAGCAGTACTTATCTTTTCTCAACTACCTTTATGTCTACATCAGTATATTGAGTTGGGCATTCTAGTCATTCTTTAAATTAAAGAAGCATTTGAATAAATCATTAACTCTACTTTCATTGTTTATTTTATGCCTGCCTTTTTTGAGGTAAAAATAATCCAATATCCTCTCTGATAAGTCAGAATATATAATTATTGTTATGTTATGTGCCGTCGAGTTGCCCACGACTCATAGCGACCCTATGTACAACAGCCCTAAACCCTGCTTTATCCCTTGTCAATCTTATTGTCTCTGACACAGTTACCCCATTACCCCAGTGGCTGAATCAATCTATCTCACTGAGGGTCTTCCTCTCCTGCGCTGTCCCTCTCCCCTTACAAGCATGATGTTCCTCTTCAAGTACTGATCCAGCCTTGCAACACGTCCAAAGTATGTCGGACAAAGCTTCAGAATCCTTGCCTCCAAGGAGCAGCCTGGCTTCATCCTCTTCTTGTTTGTTCTCCTAGCAGTCCATGGTATATTCAATACTCTTCTCCAGCACCACAGCTCAAAGGCATCAATTCTCCTTCTATCATTCCTAGTCACTGTCCAGCTCTCTGATGCATAACAAATAATTGCAAAGACCATGGCCTGTATCAGGTGCACTTTAGTCTCCAGACTGATACTGTTGCTCCTCAGTATTTTGGAGAGGTCTCTGACAGCAGACTTTCCCAATGAAATTCATCTTTTAATTTCCTGGCTACTGGTACCAATAGTGTTAACTGTAGAGCCAAGCAAACTGAAGCTGTCAAACTGAAGCTATCAACAATCTCAATCTTTTCACCACCTATCATGATGCTGTTAATTGGCCCAGTGGTGAGAATTTTTGTTTGCTTGATGTTGAGCTTCAATCCATATTGAAGGCTACAGTCCTTGACCTTCTGCAGCAAACACTTCAGGTCCTCCACCTCAGTTTCAGCAAGCAGGGTTGTGTCATCTGCATAATGCAGATTGTTGATGAGTATGACCTCCAATCCTAATGCCACTCTTCTCCTCACAGAGCCCAGCCTCCCAGATACTCTGTTCCACATATAGATTGAAAAAATATGGAGATAGGACACATCCTTGATGCACACCCTTCCCAATTTTGAATCATGCAGTGTTTCCTTGCTCTGTTCTGATGACTGCCTCCTGGTCCAAGTACACCTTCAAATCTTGGGAAAAGAAACACTATACAGCAAATCTATAGACTTTATCAACCTCCCCTAGGAAACTCTTGTAGCATAAATTGAGGAGAAGATGCCCTAAGGCACAAGAAGTCAATCCTGGAGCAGAAGTTCAAAACTCCTGAAATCAAAGAGATACTGCCCAAAGAGGAAGAAACTGGCAGCAGCTTGAGGAGTTACGAATCACAGAAGCCCAGAAAAATTGGCATATAGGCCATCACATCAAGGGCTGGATAGGGTAGACTGATGTTGAATGGAGTAGTTGGGAGTAGATGTAAATGCTGGAGTAGGGAATGGGGTGGTTCCAAACACACCTGGCAAGGTTGGGGACAACACGGTATCTATTGGTTTTTTTCTACTACAGGGAAATATCTTTAATCTGCTCTTCTCTGTAAAATGCTTATCTGTCAGATAATGTTCTAAAATCTGAGCAATCAAATTAAGACAGACTAGGAAGAAGGATTGACCATCCACTTCTGAAATAGTAGGCCTTTGAAAACCCTATGCACAATATAGCACACTTAGACCAGCAGATATGGTAACTGAGGCTGAGCCATCAAGTATGGAAACGCAAAGGAGGAAGAACAGTTGTAAGCAGACACTAGTGATTGGACCATGGAACGTAAGAAAGATGAATGTGGGGAAACTGGATATTGTTAAGAAAGAAATAGAAGGCATAAATACTGACATACTAGGTATTGGTGAAATGAGATGGATAAGCATGGGACACTTTGACTTAGAGGATCAGATGATCGACTATGCTGGAGACAAAAAGGTGAGGAAAAATGGGGTTGCTTTCATAGTTTAAAAAAAAAGACTAGAACAATTATTGTAATAGTTTATATAATTGTTAAAATCAGTGTACTAACATTGCTATGAGTGTAACCTTGTCAAGAAAACTGGAATAATTCTTTGTTTTGTTATTTGAAAAATGTCTACTTCTATGATATTGTTTAAAGCCAAGAGGAGGTTGATTAAAAGTTCTATCAATAAATCCAATATTATAATGGCCTGATGGTGAGAAAACAAATACATTGATAATTATCCGATAAAAAGTCTCATAAGTTGTATGTGTACGTGTCTGTGTACATAGAGGAATTATGAAGACTATGTCTGTAAAAATCCCAGTATAATGATCTCTTTTAGAATATACTACTAGTCTTAAATAAAAGTAAATGTGACTTGATGTAGGATCCAATGTCTATTTCAGAAAAAAGACCCTTTAGATCAAACTGCAAAATATGACTGATAAAAGAGAAATGTTTAATTATTATACTAGATGACACTGCATTTTAATTCCGAATATTTTAATAAACAAATGGAAAGGCAGCTCATGCAATATGTATCCAACTTGAACCGACATTCAACAGGGCAATAATAAATGCACATAGATTAATAACTCAAACAGTATGGGGAAAAGCTCATGCTGAAATAATGAGCTCCTGAGAGACAATTTGAATTTTTTAGCTATTTCTTCCAGCATTAATATTACATTACTAAATATTACAATTTTCTAATATCACTATTTCCTGACATGAGTTACCTATCTCTAACAACATGGTAAAAAGGAATAATTGCTTTCATCAACCACTATCTCCTAATTATTATCCTTACCCAAACTTTCTAAAAGAGTTATGGCACATTTTTGTATCAGTATTAACTGATCCAAACTATAGGCATATTTAAAAAGTGGACAAAGGCATGTAAGTTCAAGCAAAAACAATTTAAAAGGGTTCTCTCACTTTCATAAGTGCACAACAAAAAGAACATTCTTTAAAAAAAGAGAAAGCAACGTTGACTAACAAGAACCAAACTTAGAACCGCAAATTAAATATCCAAAACAACAACAAAAACAAGACAATGATTTTGAAGCCACTGAACATTAGGTTTTTAAGTTACTGGCAAAGAACTGGGATGAGGGAAACTAATAAAATCAGCCCTATAAGTGTCCCTCCCAGCTTACTGTCTTGAGAGAGTTTCTTGCCCAAGATACATGAGTACTAAGAAAGAGCCTATAAGTCTCCCAAACTGAGGAGATAGGGCTGAAAGTTTCAGAAGAAAACAGCTAGACTTCAAAGGACAGAGGAGAGAGCCATACAAAGAGAAATCCCCAAGACATCTTCAGAGGGCTTCTTGCCGGGTATTCAGTAGAGTATGATTGGCATATCTGTGTACAGAAACCACCAAAGGCTGAGAAAAGGAGCTATCTGAAAGGCCAGCTCCCACCAGGTGAACTGAAAGACTTCAGAAGGTACTGTGTAAGGTACTTAGAGCCAAGGTCAAGAAGATTTATAAGAACACAAAAATTGCAATCACTCATCAAGGTAAAATCTAAAATCTAATCAAAGATTATAAAACAGGACAGTTCAGACAGAGGCAAGGAATGAAGCAAACAAATCCAGCTCAGAATTGGCCAAGACAATTCTGGAATTATGAAAGGCTTTACAACAGTTAATAGAAGGTTATTACATACCTTCAAAGAGTTTAGTAGAGACAGGAAAGACAAAAAAAAAAAATCCCCAAACGACTCAAATAAAAATTATGTAGACGCAAACTACAATGTCTGAGATGAAAAATTCAATGGAGGGAATCGATGGCAGACCAGTAAGGACAGGGAAGAAACTAGCAAACATCAAAGTACAGCCATATAAACAATCTACAACAAAATGCACAAAGAAGAGCAGCATCCAGACCTAAAAGAATATCAGACGAATAGATGACGGACTGCAGAAGAACAAACACATCTGTTTTGGAAGAGTTACAGCTCAAATGTTCACAAAAGATGGAAGGTGTGACTTTGTATCACATCTTTTGGACATGGTAACAAGAAGGACAAGTTCCTGGAGCAGGACATCATGCATGTAAAGCACAGGATGAGGAAAAAGAAAAAGGTGAAGACTCCCAGTGAGATGGTTTGGACACAGTGTCTTCAATAACGAGTTCAAACGCAGCAACGGCTGTGAAGGTGGTACAAGACTGACCAATGTGTTGCTCTGTTGTACCTTTAAAGTGCTATTAGTTGGAAGTAACTCAAAGGTAGCTCACAACAACAAAGAGAGGCAAGAAGAACCAGCACTAAGAAACAGTGTTTCAAACTGAAGGAAAACAATAAAGCCACAGTCTAAGCAGCATGATGAACTTTTCAGTAAGGTAAACCAAAATACTTCATAGTCAAGTTGCTGAAAGCTACCTTTCCATACAGAAGAACAAAGACATACTTGCACATAAATAAGGTGGAAAAGACAGAAAATATTAGATGTTGGCTAGAACTTCTCACCAGTTGTGTGTTAAGAGTTCTCACTGTTCCACAACCCCAGCCACCATTTAGCATTTTTCACTTAAATCATTTTAGTGAGTTAGTAATAGTCTCTTTCTAGAGACAAAAGAGGAATAACATCTGTATCAGTGGGCTCACGCATCGCAGAGGTGGTGAGGATTGCACAGGATAGAGAAAGGTTTAGATCGGTTATTTACTGGGTTTCTATGAGCTGTCTGGATGTGCGGGCATCTAACAACAACAACAATGAACTAAAGCTGACTATAAGCATCTCTGGAAATTCCACTTTAGGTGAAATACTAGAATTGCCTGCGACCTCTTTTCATGTGAGAACAGGAAGATGAGGAGGCAGATCCTGGGTGGAAGTGAAGGATGGGAGCGAGAGTGTAGAAGAGTCATAGCATCAACAGGAAGATGTCAACAGTGTCTAAAACAGAAAGAGCCAGTATATCAGTCCAGAGTATTAAAGTAAGTATCAAATAATCAGCTAAAAGAAATAAAAGCACTTCTCCCAGGGGAGGAAAGAACTGAAGCTACTCAACTGGGGGACCACTGTTTGTTACAGACCCTGCAGAACTCATCTATAATACTTCCAAACAACAACAGACAGGAGAAGCAAACCTTCAGCTGTCCCCAGTTAGAGGCGGGTCCTTCATGGTGCATTCTTGGCTGGCTTTTCTGCTCTCTCCACTGTCTGCAGTGAATGAGCCTTCACTTGGGCCTGACAGAAAGCTGCACAAGCAGAAGGGAGAATCCCTCCTGAAAACTGCTCATCTGTCAGCCTCCACATGACTATTAAAATATATCACATGGCTTCTTAAGATATTAAGAAAAACTCAACCTTTCTTTTCTAATTTCTAAGGAAAAACAAAGCTATGCCCTGTAATTCAAGCTCATAATGATTTAATTAAAAAGAAAAGATGAGAAAAATTCAAAGATTTCTACAAAATATACACTACTGGCAAATGGCAGATTAGTTATAATATGGTACTATTTATTTAAACATCCCTAGTTGTTAAAAAAATAGGTAGAGTTTTAAATTCTATATATATATATACAGCCAACTCACGAGGGTTGCCAAGTTGAATGCCTCTAATGTATAAAAATTACATCAAAGATAGTACAATAAAATTATGTGAAATACATTCATATATCAGTTTCTAAATAAATCTGATTTCTTTTTAACTGACACCTTAATTATTCATATTTACATCTGGAATATAACAACTTTTCTTTCTTTTAACAACCTGAGACAAACAAAATATTACATTAGCTAGGCCTACTGCATTTCTACAGCCGAAATGTTGTGTCAATTACTTTTAATAAGATTTTATTACCTTGTTTAATCTGTCCTTGCACAATATTACTGGAGGTTGGGGGGGAACCCCTTGCCTTAGAGAGGTCTGGGGTGCCTGGTCGAGGTGGTCTGAAAAAAAGAGAAAAATAAAAAAAGATTCATCATTTATGTGTGTATATGAACACGTGTGTGAGTGTATTCACATTGTCATATAACACTTCTTAGTTCCAAGTGAATTGCAAATGAAAAAACTCAACATTTTTCCATTTAATAACCCAAAACCATGACATCCTTTCTGTTCTAATAATATTTTCTACTTAAAATTTTTAAACAGTAAAATAATTAAAGGCTCAGTAAGTAGTAAACAATATTTTTGTATCTACAATCTCTTAGATGTTAGTTTTTTGTGTTTTTTTAACAATTTTTTTATTATTTTATTTCATTATTTTTTGTGTGTTCCGTCAAATCAGATCTGACTGGTACAGGAGGAGATTGTTCCTCCTTCTCCAGCAAAGCATCTGGTGGATTCGAACTGTGCATTTCTGAGATTGCAGTTTCAGCTTCTTGCCACTAGGCCACCGGAGCCTGCCAGATGTTAGTTTTAAGGGATGCTTATGAGCACTTCAAAAGCGTACTAACATTGAAAGATACATGTCATAATTGGAGACTAATTCTTCAGCATTATTATTTGGAAATTTTCAGGCTTTCTCTGAGCACTAATTGAGCTTTCAGATATTTAGCCCTAAACTCTGAAAAGGTTCTCAGTGCTGTGAAGGATCCTTACGCCTGGTGACCCGAAGAGTGCGGAGGGCAACTGTGTTCCACGGGGTTTTTTAGGCTGTGACTTTTTGGAAAGGGATTCCCAGGCAGCCAGCTTGAGGCACCTCTGGACGGACCCAAACCCCTAATTGCTCTGTGCAAACCATACAGCAATTAATACTTTATATCACCTAGGGGCCCCCTGAAAGGGTAGGTAGGCATTAGCTATTGTAAGTAGGCAGTCTTGCATTAGGAACCACGCATAGCAGGGACTCTAGAAGCAGACTGTCTCTACAACTTCCTGTGTGACCCTGGGCAAAGTTATTTCATCTCTTTGTGCCTCAATTCTCTTATATGTTAAAAAATAATAAAGTACCCACCTTACAAAAGGAAGAGTATTATACAGTATTTGTAAAGTGCTCAGAATGGAGCCTTACCCAAAAGTGCACGTTGCATAACTATGCTTAAGATTTTGAAAGTTCTTGATATGATCACTTCTCAATAAATGTCAATGTTCACTCCCACTGAGTTGATTCCAACCCACAGTAACTTTACATTGGGTTTCTGAAACTGTAAATAGGTCTAGGAGTAGCCTGCCTATCTTCTTCCATGAGGGATCTGATGGATTTGAACCAATGACCTTCCTGAGGGATCTGATGGATTTTAACCAATGACCTTTCAGTTAGCAGCCTAACACAATGCACACCAAGCCACCAGGGATCTTCTAATTCTTAATAGAAAGTAAAACAGTACTAATGTCTTCATGACTTAGGAAAAACTACCATGCAAGCTAAGTATTGGAGTGGCCCAAACAGTTACCTGCAGTAGTGCTACGCTTTGAAAGGTTATTGGTTTAAACCAGAGCTTCCAATTGGTTGCCAAATATTCAGTAATTGTCACTTTGAATTGGATTCAGATCTGTTGCTCTTGGTATTTTGATCCAAGGAGGAATCAAGTGGCTGTGTCCACTCAAAGAGCGCAGCCGGCTGTGCTGCTTTCTAGGTCATTTGCTCTCCTGAGGTCTGCCAACACCCTGATCTCCACATCAGGCTCCTGGACTTGCAGAAGGGAGGCCTATGGCTGGACTTTGGGAGAGCAATCTATTGGCACCAATACCTGAGCCTCTGTCATCAGTCACAGCTCTGGCTTGATCGACCCGGGAGGTAGGTAACCCAGGAGATGTGCTTCTGAGGTGAGAGGTGAAGACCATTCGGGGATACTTCTACTCTGGAACACACCGGAGCACCAGAGTTGTCATCACACAACAGGAAATGACTTGGCTTTGGTTTGCTGTAAGAACATCCGTTACCTTCACTGACAGATTCTGACCATTCTTTGTATAAAATTCTGAAGTCAATCCATGCACATCAACATGGACAATAAAGGAAAACATCTGAGCCAAATACGCATTCTCAGGTGAGAATCTGAGGGAACTTTACGTAGATAAACTTCTAAGTTGACATTTATTCAAGTCTTCGTTTGTTTGTTAAATTGGCTACATTTTGTCCTCTCTCATTCAAAACTTGTTAAAAAAAAAAAAAGAAAGCCTATTGAATAGTTGACCGTGGAGCCAAGCAAATTAAAGCTATGAACAATCTCAATCTCTTCACCATCCATCCTGAAGTTGCCAATCAGCCCAGTGGTGAGAATGTTTTTCTTGATGTTGAGCTTCAATCCATATTGAAGACTGTAGTCCTTGATCATCTGCAGCAAGTGCTTCAGGTCCTCCTCAGTTTCAGCAAGCAGGGTTGTGTCATCTGCATAACGCAGATTGCTGATGAACACTCCTGGCACCAGCAGCCAGGAAATTAAAAGACGTATTGCAATGGGAAAATTAGGGACTGTTAAGACCTCTCCAAAGTAGTGAAGAGCAATGGTTTCACTCTGGAGAATAAGGTGCACCTGATACAGGCCATGGTCCTTGCGATCACTTGCTTCGCGTCAAAGAGTTGGACAATGACTAGGGAGGATAGAAGGAGAATTGATGTATTTGAGCTGTGGTGTTTAAGAGTACGGACTGCTAAGAAAACGAACAGGTTCATCCTGGAGAGGGTTAAACTAGGCTGCTCCTTGGAGGCAAAGATTCTGAAGCTTCATCCGACATACTCTAGACATGTTGCAAGGAGGGCATGCTTGGGATGGTGGAGGGACAGTGCAGGAGAGAAAGACCCACTATGAGGTGGCTGGATTCAGTGACTAGGGCAGTGGGGGTAGGTGTGTCAGAGACAGTGAGGTTGGCACAGGATAGGGCTGTTGTACATAGGGTCACTATGAATCGCAGGCGACTCGACGGCACATAACAACAACACTTAATAGTATCATAGATTTTAAAATGTATCATTTTCTTTTGTTTAAATAATTTCTACTAATTGCATTTGAACATGGAAAGGGCAAACAATGAAATGACATTAAATACTGCACTCTGTTGTTGTTGATTGTTTCCAATCAAGCACGACACATAGCAATCCTATGAATAAAAGGCCTGAGGCTTTTCTAGAACTATTGTCATTTATCAAAATTCTATGAACTCTGATACACGCTCTACCACCCGCATGAAGTAATAGTGACAAAAATAAAACTAATTTCTTTTTTTTTCTTTTCACATTTTTAACCACGAGAAACCAAACTCTGATGGCCATACCTGGTCGGACCTTTCTTCATGTGATCGCCGATGAAGGTCGCATTGGTCATGCTCATTAAGGTATTTGCCAAAGATATGATGGACAGGAGGTGCTGCGTGGTGACAGCCCGGGACACCCCGTAGGTCCCCTTCCCCACCCCTTCTGTGGCTAGCAGCTTCCTTCCTCCTTCCACCCTCCCCTGTGACACGGTCGAGGCAGCTTGATTATAACCAGGAAGCATGAGTGACATGTGACCCCCGCGCGACAACAGCCCGAACGACACGGTGCAGTGGGGCTTCAGCATCCCGAGGCGGTCCAGGCAGATGTCATCCAGCACCTCGTTGAGGCCCCAGGCATGGAGACAGGACAGGAAGAGTTTGGCAGTGTCCATGGTTAGGTTGTATTCTAACAGCGTCAAGGGCTTGGATTTGCTGGCCCGATACTCAGGATCACTCTCCTCTCTCCTCTGTCTCATCAGCTCCTCCTCACCCTCCTCCTCGTCCAGGAGGTGCTCCTTGATGTTCTCTTTGATCGTCTCTTTCACTTGCTGGAAGATGACCGCGGCTCGCTTCCCAGTGAGGAAGGAGCCCCCTTTGTCTGCACTGCCTGACGCTTTCTGCAGGTTCTCCGGGGAAATAAGTGCGGTGTTGGGCCTCGAGGCTTCTTCCGTCAGGAGCTGAATAATCAACGCTTCCACGTCAAAGAAGAGCACATGCACGTCCGGGTCGGTGAGGTTCGTCTTGATTGCTTGAACCATCAGGGAGTTATGAGAATATTTAGGCAAATTCCCCTGTAAGAGAGAGTTGTGGACGATGGTTAGGAGTCAAAGTTCTTAATGTCTGATATTCAATAATGAACTTTATAAATAGCCAGAGTTATTAACATGCTTATTCTTGTTCTTCTAAGAAACCTGTATTATTAAAAACACTTATATATGTGTGGAGAACACATACCATATGATGCTACTGACTACAAGCTAGAATGTTAGCTCTAACTTACATATAATTATGATGTGTAATATAGGTTCTGGAGTTCTGGTAGCTTAAGAGTTGGTGGTAAGGGGTTGCACTACCAACGTGACATGTGGTTCGAACTCAGCAGCTGTTCCACAGGGGAAACATAGGCAATCTCCTCCTGTGCGATTAATAGCCTCTGAAAACCTGCTAGAGGGTCAGCTATGGGTTGGTTCCAACTCATCAGTACACAACAACAAACAACATATACACTAGACAGTATGTGCTGGTAATTATATATTTGCATGTGTGTGTACATATATGTAAACATGATTTCATGTCTAAAATATCGGTTTATAACCCTTGAATAACTCTACTGAAGCTGTTATAGAACTGCCAAATGATTTTTTAAAGTCAAGGAAATAAATGTTTGTTCTTCAAACAATGGGTCCTTTTACCCAGACATAGACTAAAATGTCTTTCAATACTTCTGATTTTAACAAGCAAATATGTCTAAAAATTATAAGCAACTTTCTATGTTCCCTTTGTCATGGCTTTGGAACGTTTTAAGTTGCTGCGCCATCAAATCCCTCCTTATACCGCTTTTACTTTCAATCTCCCCAGTTAAGACCCCTTTCCCCTCAACAGACAACTCGGTCCAGACTACTGAGATCCACTTCCCCAGCACTCACAACAAAACAACACTTAAGCTCTTTGCTGTTTCTGACATTAGTTTTGCCTCCAGGAGGAAAGAGAAAGGGGGGGGGGAATGAAAGGAGAATGAAGGAAACAGGCTCATAAAAAGCCACAGCTCTGGCTTCCTGGGTACCCGCTCCTGGGAAGCCTTCTCATGCTGCCTCCAGGCTCTCCGTCACCCTTACAGCTCACTCTCTCTTGTAACCACTTGTAAACCTTTACTGCAGTCACCTGTGGAGCCCCGGGTCTCTATAATGAACCAGATTCGTCTCCTGAAGGATCCCAACTCTGCATTTTCAACTTCTTGTGCTGTACCTCCTCTGGCGCCTCCCATTTCACATGTCCTGATTGCCACTCTCCCACTAACCCTGCTGCCCTCCCCTGAATTATCAGTTTGGCTTATCAATTTTTGCTACTAGCCAGCATCACCAGCTACCAATCCCTGAACACCATCTGAGCGTGGCTTCCAACTCAGTCTATTCATTTCCCAGCAGGAACCGTTCTGGGCTCGCTTCCCTTCCTCCAAACTCTCTTCATCATCATTGACTAAATCTCTATCCCCTTCTAGACAAAATAAAGAACACTGACATGGCATTGATAACGAGGAGTACTGAATCCACCACGAACTGCCAAAAGAACAGGCAACTCTGTTTTGGAGGAAGTGCAGCCTGAGTGCTCCTTAGAAGCCAGGATGATGAGACTTCGTCTCACTTGACCACGTTATCAGAGGCCATGATTCCCTGGAGAAGGACACCATACCCAAAACCGTGGAGGGTCAGCAAGAGAGGCTCTTCAACAAGACTGACTGACAGAGAGACTGAAACAGTGGGCTGGGGCACAGCAGAGACTGTGAGGACGGCGGCGAAGGATTGAGCGGGGTTTTACTCCACGGGACACAGGGTTCTGTCAGTCAGAGACAGCCTGATGGACGTAACACTTCTCCTTGTTCCAATCCGACCTCCCCAGAGCCACGTGGCTCCTCTTTTAATCAAAATCCAATCATGCCACTCTTCAGTCAGGATCTTTCCATAAGCAGAGGTTATTCACATAGATAGAAAATACAAAACCGTACGAAGTTAATAAAAATGTAAGCGAATATCTGATCCTGAAATGAGGAGGGACCTTCTAAATGTACACCACTTTGGAAAAAAATTAAAAAGAAATTAAGAAATAGGAATAACATTTACTAGGAATAAGACTTACAAACAGTTATATCTATACATATATTTCTTAACATCAATAATAACAATTCTAATGCCAAGAAATAAAAGTGTTCCATAAGACCAAAAACCAAAACTCCCTTCTGTTGATTTGATTCACAGTGACTCTAACAAGTGGAGCTCATGGTGACCTTCCTTCAGGTTTGTAAATATTAGTGGATATTAACAGGTATATATTGGAGAAGGTGCAGTCAGAGTGCTCCTTGGAGGCAAAGATAATTGAACTTCGCTTCACACCACGTTGGGCATAATGATAGGAGAAGCTATTCATTGGAGAGGGACATCATGCTTGGGAACATGAAGGGACACCAAGAGGGGAAGATGCTGTTCCAGCTGGACTGCCGTAGTGACTGCTGCGGTGGGCTCCAGGGGGTCAGAGAACGTAGGATGGCACAGGACAGGGCAGGGTTCACATCTGCTGTCATTCGGTCGCTACGAGCCATCCTTGCCTCAAGGGCACCTAACAGCAACAACAAATATTAACAGCAGCAGACTCCCACAGACAACGGGGTGTACTCGACCCATCAATCTTTCTGTCTAATAGTCTAATACACAATGCACTACAACACCAGGTTTCCTTAAACAGTCAGTAACTATACAGAAAAGACTGCTAAGAAGAGATGCCAAGGAAAGGAAAGTTAAAATACCTTTCGGGACTTAGGAAATGAACAAATGCAGACCAAAGTAGGAATCCTGGCAGTGCAATGGTTAGCGCTCAGCTGCAAACAGAAAGGCCAAGGACTCGAATGAATCCATCGAGAGGTTGCACAGCAGAAACCGGCAAGCTCCTCCTTAAAGACTCTAGTCTAGGAAACCCTGGGGGCAGCTTGACTTTGTGATGTGAGGGTACTACGAGAAGAAAATTGACTTGATGGCATCTAACAACGACATTAAAAACCATGTACTGCTAGCCAGAAGTATAGCACAGAGAGTTGAACCCACTGCAGGAATGCTTCAAATGCTTCCTTTCCAGGGAATAATCTGGCAACGTAAACCACAAACCCTTCACATTGATACCATTCAACACAGTAAGTTTATTTCAAGAACTCTATCCTACAGGATCAAAAATACAAATAAGGATTTATCTTTTTAAATGTTCTGTGAAACAAGAGCCATTCTTTTAAATGGTATGCGAACGAACTAACAAAAAGGAAACAGGTAAGTAAGACTACCTATAGAAAAGAACAAAAGATAAATTATTAAAAATAATCATTTCTGAGCACATGTAAAATGCCCTATTTCTATGTTAAGTGATATAAAACTAGACACATACATACACAAAAAGCATGGTTACAAATTTATGTATTTATAAAAAAACAAACAAAAAAAACCCCAAAAAACAAAAACCAAATTTATGTATTTAAGGTTACATGCATCAGGATGGATGGTGAAGAGATTGAGCTTTTACACAGCTTTAGTTTGCTTGGCTTCACAGTCAACAGTCTTGGCACCAGCAGCCAGGAAATTAAAAGGTGCATTGCCATGGGAAAGTCTGCTGTTAGGGACCTCTCCAAAGTACTGAAGAGCAATGGTGTCTCTCTGGAGAGTAAGGTGTGTCTGATACAGGCCATGGTCTTCGCAATCACTTGTTATGCATCAGAGAGTTGGACAATGACCAAGGAGGATAGAAGGAGAATTGATGCCTTTGAGCTGTGGTGCTGGAGAAGAGTATTGAGAATACCATGGACTGCTAGGAAAACAAACAGATTTGTCCTGGAAAGGGTTAAACCGGGTGGCTCCTTGGAGGCAAGGATTCTGAGGCTCCGTCTAACTTACTTTGGACATGTTGTGAGGAGAGACTGGTCCTTGGAGAGGGACATCATGCTTGGGAGGGTGGAGGGTCAGCGCAGGAGAGGAAGGCCCTCTATGAGGTCGATTGATTCAGTGACTGGGATAATTGGGATGGGAGTGTCAGAGACAGTGCGATTGGCACAGGCAGAGCGGAGTTTAGGGCTGTTGTACACAGGGTCGCTATGAGTTGCAAGCGACTCGACGGCACATAACAACAACAACAACACACGTAAGCATGATAAGAAAGGCTGGAAATGCCTGAAAGTGTTAACACTCATTATACTTCTGTGACTGGATAATTGAAAATTTTTCTCTTCATGTTTTCACACATTTCTTAAATTATGGATGTTGTTGTTATGTGCCGTCAAGTCTCTTGCAACTCGTAGCAATCCTATGCACAATAGCTCTGAACCTTGTCCTATCCTGAGCCAATCTCACTGTCTCTGACACACCTGCCCCTATTACCCCAGGTCCTGTGTCACAGATAGCATATCTTAAGGCCATAATTGGAATACAAATACTTGGGGTAAAATGAAGACTCCATCAGCTCAAGCCTATCACAATCAAACACAAAATACCTTTCCAGTCTTACCAAACACCCAAGGCTCCAGCTATCATGAACAGGTCTCTAACTTATCAATCCTTTTTACTTATGCTGCTTCTTTGCCTGAAGTTGGGTGTCACTGAATGGAACGTGAACAGTGAGCCCACACAGAAACAGGAGAACCGCCCCAAAGGTTTTCTAGTCCATCATCTTTATGGATGCGAATCACCAGGTCTTTTTCCTGTAGAGGGAGTTCTAGTGGGGAGAGACTTGCACTGACAACCCAAAGGCACGCAGTTCAAAGCCACCAGCTATTCTGCAGGAGGGAGGGGGTGATCTTTTCCCATGTCATTTACAGTCACTGACAAACACCTTTGAGGGTCATCTCTGAGTCAGTCCTAACTCCGCTGTCGATGAAAGAGAGAGAGATGACATATCTGTACATGCTTTCTTTACATCTATACAATTTGCTCTATTACAGATTCACCTTCTTTTGTATCCTGTGAGATAATTTAAAAAAACCAGAGACTGGGCATGTCTAACTTTTCTTACGTAATCCTAACTCTAACAGAATGAATACAGAGTA